GTTTTCAGTTGGTAATTTGTTGCAGTCTATTCACTGCTTCTTAAAGTTCTTCATTGCCCTTCGTTTGGACTTTAATTCTTCAGAGGCTGTAGTATGCCTCATAGACATACAGTATCACTGGAATAACAGTGATGTGGTGCTTGGGTGCTTATGTTTGGGTGCTTGTGCTTGGACCCCAATTTCTCCCTAGCCTCAGAAACTGTCCCTGACAGTTTCTCCCCAGCCCAAGGACCCTGTGCTTAGCAATTACTTGTGAGTGGGCCCCAGCAAGACCCTTATCTCTCTCCCTGGTGGACTTCCAAACAGCACCTGAAGGATTTATTAGTTTAAACTGACTTTGCACTGGGTCATAAAGACATTTTTACCCACTACTATACTATCCTACCACCCTACCTTATTATCTACATCCTGGGCTCCTCATTAACTGTATTCTAGACTTAAGACATATGTATAACTCCCTACATCTATCTTGTCTAACAAGACATTGACTGGTGGCAGACTGGACAACTCTCAGTTACCCCGAACTCTAGTTGACTTAGTGATATAGCAGGCCTAAAACCACACCTCCATGTGGCCCTCCTTGTGGGCTTTTCCCAGTGAACTCTGGGTAAAACGCTTGTACAGTAGGTACAAGAAGTGCATGTTCTTTTAAGAACTGACCACTCCTTAACCACTCGCTAATCCCACCCTGAATCACCTAGTTAGCATATTTGGCACATGCTTTATTGTGTTTTATCCTATATAAACTTTAACTGTACTTCTCTAAGGTTGCAGGATCCTTTAAGAATCCTTGCCCGCTGAAAAGCGTAACAATAAACTTTGCCACCTTGGCTTAAGGAATGCTTGAGTCTGTGAATTCATTCCAGATGACCCATCGTGTAATTCAGTCTTTGAGGGGTCACAACCTCTCAACCTCTCAGCCCGCAACAACAGTGTTATTTAAAAAAAAAAAAAAGAATAGATATGTCTCCAGGAAAAAAAAATTGGGGATCATTGAAAGTATTACAGTTTTCCAAAGGTAATCCAGCCCACTTTCCTTCTCTTCTTCAATTCTGGACCTAAATCATGTCAGTGTGCAATATCTGTCCAATATGTAAGCAATTATTACTTCTCCACACTCCTCCAAAAAAAAACCCTCATTTTTCTCCTTGGATTCCCTTTTTCTGTCAAGAGCACAACCTAGGAGTTATCCTTGATACTTTCCTCTTACTTATCCCTTGTAGCCAATCAATTACCAAATGTAATCATTTTTGTTTCCACATTGTTTTTTGTACCCGTGTCCTTCTTGCTACTTACAGAGCCCCCACTTGTGGTTCAGACTTTCATGATCTATTGCCTAAACTAGTGCATTTGTATACTATTTGGTCTCCATATTTCATCTCTTCCCTGTCCAATCCATCTTCCACACAATGTTGTTCGGTCATTTCATTCATGTCCAACTCTTTTTGATCCTGTTTGGTGTTTTTTTGGCAGATACTGGAGGGATTCACTGTTTCCTTCTCCAGCTCATTTGACAGATGAGGAAACTGAGGTAAACAGGGTTAAAAGTGTTTTGTCCAAAGTCACATAGCTAGCAAAGATACTGGAGGGGTTTGCCTTTTTCTTCTCCATCCACACAGTTATATCCTAAAAAGCACATCTCTGACCAATTCATATCCCTATTCAATAAACTCCAGTACCTCCTTATAACATCTAGAATCAAATACAAATTCCTGTTTGACTTTCACAACCCTTCACAGCCTAGCTCCAACCTACCTCTACAGCCTGGCACATTACTCCCCTACCTGCACTCTTTAGTCGAGTGAAACTGTCCTCCTTTTTTTTTCTCACATATAATAGTTTTATCTCTCATCTCTATGGCTTTGTACACATCTTTCTTAATGCCTAGAATGCCTCTTTTCCTCTCTTGTTCCTTTCAAAATTCCACTAAAATATTTACTATGTAAGACCCTTCCTCATTCTTCCAGATCCTAGTACTTTCTCTCCCATTAAATTTATTCAAATTTGTTTGGTATATGGAGGCAGTTAGGTCATAAAGTGGGTAAAGCTCCAGGCCTGGGGTCAGGAAGACCTGACCTCAAATCTGGCCTCAGACTCTTACCAGCTGTGTGACCCTGGGCAAGCCACTTAACCCTGTTTGCCTCCTTTTCCTCATCTGTAAAATGAGCTGGAGAAGGAGATGGCAAACCACTCCAGTATCTTTGCCAAGAAAACCCCAAATGGGGTCATGAAGAACCAGACACAGCTGAACAACAACAACAAAACTTATAGCATTTGAAATTTCAAAGAGACTTTCACAATTCATGTTATTTGGCATGCTAGACCTAAGAAGGCCTCTCATGAGTACAGGGCAATTCTGGGAGGCAGCTAAGTGGCTCAGTGGATAGAGTTTGGGGCCTGGAACCAGGAAGACCTGAGTTCAAATCTGGCCTCAGACACTTAGTAGCTTTATGATCCTGGCCAAGCCACTTAACCTCTCTTTGCCTTAATCTGCTGGAGAAGGAAATAGCAAACCATTCCGGTATCTTTGCCAAGAAATCCCCAGTGGGATCAGAAAGAGTTGGACTCAGTTGAAACAATTCAACAACAACAAAACTAGAGCATTATCACAGAAAGAAAAAAAAATTATTTTCCACAATCTACTGGACAGAACCTAAATATGCAATTGGACTTGTGATTTCATAAATTTGGAAGTTCCTTTCAATGAGATCATACACAACCAACCCACGCCTACCCATTGGTGCAACTTTTGTGTATGTTGTCCCATAAACTTGCTACAGGGAAAATGGAAGCCCTTCTACGTTTTGTCCAGGCATTTCAAAGTTACCAGTGGAACACTCAGGGTGTCCACCTATACCACCCTTTGTATATAACCAGCTCATTTTCTCTTCTTGTACTTTTCCTTGATGACACTTTGTATTTCTGATCTTTATAATTCCTCAAATTATGTGCTGCCTTTTCAGCATTTGTTCATTCACAATGCTGTGTGATGTTCATTTTTTTGATTCTTCAGAGACTACATCAAATTGGGACCCATAAAAATTTAAAACAACATTTTGGATAGGTGTTGCCATACCAAATGCTCACAATCTCCAAAGTACGCAGAACGAAGAGCTCTTAAAATTCTTCTGCTAGAAAAATAATCAAAACCATGTGGGAACAGGAGGAAGCACATGTTATCCTTTTCATCCTTTCTATGGCTCAAGTCCTCCCAAAGGTGATTTCAATGAGCCTAGAGAAGATGGATTTACATCCCAAAACTTTTAATCAATTACAAAAGATCATTCTATTTGCCTGCACAATTGTCCACAGAACATGAAATATAAAAGAACAATGTCAGGAGAGTGACTTGGGATAAGACCATTTCTCTCTGAACTCCATTGAAAAAGATGAAATGAATGAGAGAATAATAATCACTGACATTTATATGGCGAAAGTTTTCAAAGTACTCTATATACATTGTGTCATTGATTCCAGAGGGGCATTCAAATCTATGTCTCCTACCTCTATGCCCACTGGAATGGCCATTAGAACATGTACTTGAAAGAAGGTATGTAATCTTACTGGGACAGTCAGGAGAGGAACTTGTCTAAGACTATAGCAAATAAAGTGCAGGCGAGTAAGGAAGGGAAGAGAAAGAGGAGGGAACAAATAATTATTAGGTGCCTACTATGTGCCAAGTGGAGGCAGCAAAGTGGCTCAGTGGATAGAGTGTTGGGCCTGGAATCAGGAAGACCTGAGTTCAAATCTGGAATCAGACACTTACTAGCTATATGACCCTGGGCAATTCACTTAACCTCTGTTTGCCTTAATCCACTGGAGAAAGAAATGGCAAAACACTCTGGTATCTTTGCCAAGAAAACCCCAAGAGTAGTATTGGCATGATCATTGGGTCACAGAGAGTCAGACAGGACTGAACAGCTAAGCAACAAATGTGCCAAGCACTATGCTAAGAGCTTAATATCTCATTTGATCCTCCCAGCTCTGGGAGTTAAGTACCATTATTATCACCATTTTACAATGGAAGAGATTGAGGCAGATAGAGGTCACACTGCTACTAAGTATCTGAGGCTGTATTTTAACTGAGATCTTCCCAAGAGCACACTATCTAGTTCATACACCTAGGGGATGTGGCTATCATACAACAAAAAATGAACAACATCTTAGTGAAGAAATCATGTGAGGCAACCATCTTCTTGCCATCACTTCCTGCTTCCCTTTGTGTGTTCTCCCTGACTTTGGACCACCATTACAAACTCCTTTGATTTCAACGCTTGCCTAACCCTTGAGTTTGGTTGGTTACCCTGTGCATTCTTCTTGATTTGGCCAAGCTTTCTGTTAAGTCTTTCTGAGCATGAATTATATCCTAACCTTCCCCCTCAGGAGAGTTCTTTCCCTTATGACCCCTCATCACCGACCAGCTAAACTTCATCTTCTCCCTAGGGGTCAGAGACAGACATTCAACAAAACTAGGTAAAACATTTGTGGGAAAGAGGCGGGTAAAACAAGAAAAGAGAAAATAATGAAAATTTGAGTTTATAATACTTATACAGAATGTTGGTGGAAATACAGGGTGTCCCAAAAGCCTTAGTGGAGTATTAAACTGTATTTTGCTTTGTGGGGGAACAGATTCTTTCCCTGTAGCTCATTCAAAGCCCAGACTGTCTTTTACTGCTAAAACAACACAGGTATCTTTCTGGAGAAATAAAGGAAGGGATATAAGCCCCTTTCATGACTATTATTCTATTCTATTCACCTCCACAAAACTTTGGTTACATGGAGGAGGGAAAATTGTTTGTTATCTAAAAAGTTAACCAAAATTGTTAACCAGGTAAACTGTGTGAAAAGACAAAGGCTAATCTTAAGTATTATGAGTCAAGGCCATTCAGGCTCTTTCCCTCTTATTCAGACAATACCATGTGACTCATTTAGGGAGGGTACTCATCACAGCCAACCTGTAATTAAAAAAAAAACCTATTCCACAAGAGCAAGAATATTACCTCAAAAATAGTGAGGACGTTAAGTGTTCGGCAAGTATCTGTGGATTTCCTCCATTCTTTATTCCTGCATAGAAACCCTATGTTCCCCTCCAGCCCTGAAGCACAGGCCTGAAAGCAGCATGAATTTTCAACACAGGGAACTTCACAATCTGTTGGGACAAGAAAAGGGAAGAGTGTCATCAAGAAGAGACCAAAGATTTAGATCTACTTACAAATAGGGAATAAACATATATATATATAGGCCTACTACCTATCAGGCACTGTGCTAAGCACTTTTACAATTGTTTCTTCAGTTAATCCTCAAAACAACCCGGAAGGTAGAAGCAATTATTATCCCCATTTTATAGGTGAGGAAACTGATGCAGAGAAAGGATAAGTGACTTGTCCAGGGTCACACAGCTAATAAGTATCTCAGGCCAGATTTGAACTTAGGTCTTCCTGACTCCAGTTCTACTGTCTACTTTGCCACTAGCTGCCTAAGTTATGTGACCTTGGATGAGACACTTCATTTCTCTGGGTCTCTAAAATGAGGAGATGGGACTAAGGTCTCTTCCAGCTCTGAAATTCTATATTGGGCTATAAAGAGAGAGTTACAATTCTTACCTGTTGTATTTCATTCATTTGGACTCTGATCATTCATGATGAAGAAATGACTCCTGATGAAGAGTGGATGAGCAAAGGAGGAGGAAGAAGCAGCCTGGGGCCATAAAAGAGGAGTCTGGGTATGCATACTCAAGGATATGACCACCCTTAGGCATCATTGGATATTATATCCACTAAAGTGTGTAGGATACAGCAAGGCACCCCAGTAAAGTACAGAAGATCTATATTCAAAGGAATGGAACTTCCAGACACTTCCAGCTGCCCTTATAGGGTACATTGATTGCTTGGATGGGTAGGAGAATGAAAAAGTTGAGAACTCCACGTAGTCATGGAAGTAGAGTTCCAGCCGGTGTCATGATGGTAAATGTTTATCAGCCAACTCTCAGAAAATATATACGTACAACACACTTTTAAGCTGAATCTATGTTAGTAACATTTTCTCCAATACTTTCTTAAGTCTAGATAATCTACAATATAATAGAGCAAGCCCTGATCTGTATCATTCGAGATCTCCAAGACATAAATACTCATACTAAAAATGCAACAATTGGCTCTCATGAACTGGTTGGCTCCAGCACATCTCTGGTCCTAGCTGAGGGGATGCCCCAAATCATAGAGTTTGGAGCTCAAAGGGACTTCACCAGGTATGACTCCCTCATTTTATAGATAAGGAAACTGAGAGCCAGAGAGACAAAAATGATTCTCTCAGGTCACATAGGTAGTAGCATTGCCAAGATTCTCACCCACACTTTCTAATTTAAAAACCTAGTTCATACCTTCTCCAGCCTGCCTGTCACCCAGAGTCCACCAGATACTTCAAGGGCCAAGCAGGAGCAGATGCTACAGGAAGTACTTCCCTGCCTTCAACCTTCCTGACAGTTCCCCATTCCCTTTTTCCCCTCCTGGCTAGACATTGGCTCTTCCACGAGAGGAAATCCTAAGTGTTTCTCTCTACTCTGACCTTGGGAGCTGGAGGGTACCTCAAGTCTATATGCCCACTCATATCACTTGGATGAACCAGGAGGCATCAACTACAAGCCTTTCAGCAAAATGGACTTACTATCTGCCTTGACAATTAATCAATAATTTCAGTTAGCATACCTTGTGTTCTGCCAGTCACCTGTACCCTGTCTTTATTGACACCCTAAAGGAAAAAAAGAAATCAGAGATAGAGTTAAAATCACATTATTTTAAAAGGCAACTGGATGTTTAACTCTAGGCATAAAGCAAAATTACTTCTAACTGCTGTTAGTTTTATGGAGTGGTCTTCCATGGCACTGAAAAAATGAGACGTGGCCACTGTGACCAGATGCTCTTTCTTTCCTTTCTAAAATCCACTGCTTTCCAACGCAGAATAGTGTGGTGGAATGGACATTGGTCTTGGAGTCATAGAATCCCAGAATCAAAGGAGCCAAAAAGTGGAATGAAACTGAGAAGCCACCTAGTCCAATTCCTTCTACAACTTCCTCTGACAAGTGGTGGCCATGCCTCTGCATCAATGCCTCTAATGAAAATAATATAGCTAATATTAGTAGCTAGTTAGCATTTATATAGTACTTTCAGGTTTGCAAAGTACTTCACAAATATCTTATTTTATCTTCATGACAACCCTGGGAAGTAAGTATCACCATCATTATCATCATTATCATCATCATCATCATCATCATCATCATCATCATCTCCATTTTCCAGATGAAGAAACTGAGACAGAGACTAAGTGACTTGCCACTGGTAGATCATACATCAAGTATGTACGTGTCTGAAGCTAGATTTGAACTCAAGCCATCCTGATTCCAGGTCCAGTACTTTATCCACTGTGACACCTGACTGCCATAATGAAAGGGAACTCATTAACTCCTAGGCAGCATATTCCATTTGGGGTAGCTCTATTTGTTAGAAGTTTTTGTTTTCATTTTTTTCTGGACAGCCAGCTTAAATCTGCCCCTCCACAACTTTCAACCATTGTTTCCAGTTCTGCCCTGTGGGACCAAGTAGAACTAATGTAATTTCTCTCTCACATGAATACATCCTTTTGAGTCTTCCCCTTTGCTCCGGGACCAAGTAGAACTAATATAATTTCTCTCTCACATGAATACATCCTTTTGAGTCTTCTCTTCCCCTTTGCTCCTCTCTTCCCTTTTACCTTCTCTTTATATCCCTAGTTTCTTCAACTAATCTCCCAGCTGATAGTATGGTTGTTGTTCAGTTGTTTTTCAGTCATGTCCAACTCTTTGTGATCCCATCTGGGGTTTTCTTGGCAATGATAATGGAATGATTTGTCATTTCCTTCTCCACCAGCTGATAGTGCCTCCCACTTAAAAATACCTTGTATTTAGTTGATATATATTCTATATATGTGTATATGTTGTACACTTCTATCTGTATGTGTTGTTTCCCCGATAGAGTGTAAGATCCACGAAGACAAGGACCATTTAATCCACTTTTTTTTATACCTAGTATATAGCTTTCAGTACTGTAAGTATTTTAAAAATGCTTAATTGATTAATTGATTGATTGATTAGTTATGGAATATCCTTGATTGTTTTCTTGTCATCTTGGTTACTGAACATGCCTCAGTTCATCTGTATGTTTCCTGATGTATAATGTTGAACACAGTAGCCCAAATGTGGTCCACTGATGGCAGCAGACAGCAGAATTCTTAAGTCCAACATTCTTCCCTTTACATCTCTCATCATGGCCAAGGACAACATTAGCTATTTTGGCCTGTCATATCATACTGTTGACATATGTTGAACTTGCAAAATACTAAGCTCATAGGTTATTTTCAGAATTCTTGTCAAAAATATACTTATCCATAAGAGTTGATACTTGGAAAACAAGTATAGAACTTGACATTCATCCCTATTCATTTTCATTTTATTGGACTTATTCTCCCACTCTATCCTCTTGAAATCCTTTTGGAACCAGACTGCTACCTAATTATATTAACTATACCACTAATACTTTGTGTTACTCTCAACTTTCATACACATACCTTCTATGTTTTTATAGGTCATTGATTAAAATTCTGGACAACATGGGTCCAAGGAGAGGTCCCTAAAGTACCCCTCAAGAGAAAGAACTTCTTCCACATTGACAATGACTGAATAATAGCTACTATTCTGTTCTGGTCTTTCAACTAGTTCCTAAATCACTTATTATGATCTATCTGGACCATTTCTCTCCATCTTTTCAACAAACACAGCACATGAGATTTTTGTCAAATGCTTTACTAAAATTTTAGTATGCTACATATGCAGCAGTTCCTTCATCTACCCATCTACTCACTATGCCAAAAAAAAAAAATCAGATTGGTTTGAGATGACCTATTCATAATGAAGTCATGCTGGCTTTTAATGCTTACCATTTCATATACTGTTCCGTTAATGATGTGTTTTATAGTTTTACCACAATTAGAAGCCAAACTCACTGGTCCATAATTTGCAGGATCTATTTTATTCCCTTTTTGAAAATGGAACAGTATTTGCCTTTCTCCAGTCCTGAGGAACCTCTCCCATTCTCCATAATCTTCCAAAGTTCGATGACACCATCTCAGCAATCACACCTGCCAGTTTTTCAGTCACCTTGGAAAGTGGTCTATAAAATTTTTTTGAACACATACCCCTATTATAAAACATTTTGGAGAACACATTGCAAATAAATGTATATTTATTCATTTATAAATTATGTTCATGTGCTATTGATCTGCTATATTATATACATTAAAACATATATTAAAATGAGCATTTTAAAAGAATAATATGTTGTTTGTCCTTCATGTTCAAAGAGACCAATGACATCATGGGTGATGTTCTGATTTGTACATTAATTGGATTTAAGTGATGTAGAGTTGCACAAAGTCATCAGCCTCACTCTCTCTTCCTGAGGCATTGAAGTCCAGTGGTAAGGCAAAAAACAGGATGACTGGACTGGAGATGGCTAAGTGGATGACCTTGGCATCTTCAATGTCTGATCAAGCTCTAAGTTCTCCACAGCACCTGCTTCAAGACTCCTTCACAGCCATTGGAAGAAATTGTTCTCATCCACCATTCCTCTGATGCTTGGGGTAGTTTTCCTATCTCACTGACAAGTTTGAGGCCTATGGTTACCTTCAACCTGGTTTAGCCCATCTGCTGAGACAGTTTACCAGGGTGTAGCCACTGTTCATGCTACAGCTTTTTGAGAGAGTTGGGTGAAATCAGGTGAACATCAAAGGTAGATAAGGAGCCATGAGAAGGGCTCAGCCACCCCTCACACCTGAGGTGCTAGTCCTCCTAAACACCCGAAACATGCCAAAAGAATAAGATAAAGATGAAATGAATGATAGTTTTTCACTAATTCTATTTTGGCAACCAAAAGGAGGACCTGGGTTTAAATCCCAACTCTGATACTTATTAGTTGTGCAACCCTGGATAAATCCCTCAAGCCTCAGTTTCCTTACCTATAAAATGGGGATTGGGGCAGCTAGGTGGCACAGTGCGATAGAGCACCAGCCCTGAAGTCAGGAGGAACTCAGTTCAAATAGGGCCTCAGACCAAACACTTGACACTTACTAGCTGTGTGACCCTGGGCAAATCACTTAACTCTAATTGCCTAAAAAAAAAAAATGAGGATAAAAATACTTATGGTGTCTAACTCACAAGATTGCTGTGATGGAAATGCTTTGTAAATCTTAAAGCCTCATAGAAATGTAAACAGTTGCTATTATTCAATTCAACTATTTGTTTTCAACAAACTGGTCCACTCTGTGTTTTCAACATACTGTATTCATTCCATCTTCTATATTTTTGCTTATAACATTTTCCCTCCTTTAATACCTTTCATTGACATCTGTTCTTACTGTTTCCACACTTTCTGCTAATTTCTTAACCCTTTGTATTCTGGCTTCTAGCCCCACAACTCAGCTGAAACTCTTCTGTCCAAGGTTCCTAATCTACTCATTAACTTCTGAATCTAATGGGTTTTTTTGATTTACCAGTCTTCATTGTCCTCCATATCTTAACACTACTGATCACCCTCTTCTCCAGGACACTTCATTTTTTCCCCCTCTCCTGTGCTACTGCCCTCTACTAGTTCACCTCCTATAAATCTGTCTACTTTGCCCAATCATCAACTTCTCTCCACCCTGCAAACTCTGCCCTGTGACCTCTTCTCTTCTCTATTTGCTCTCTTCAGGACAGCGGCAGCAGACACAGATTCAAGTATAGTATCTGGCTATATGATTCATATTTCTACATATCTAGCCCTTACCTCTCTCCTAAACATTAGTTTTGTGTTGTCAACTACTTGCTGGACAGCTCTGCCTCAATGTGCTGTCACCATCACAAAATTAATATATCCAAAATGGAGTTCATTATCTTCCCCATCAAACCCACCTCTCCTCCAGACTTCCCATTTCAAATGAATGCATTGAATGTCAGTCTCTGTAACTTCCACATAATCTCTAGCTCTTATCCCCTTCATCCCTCATCAAATCAGGTGCCAGGTCTCTTGATTTTACTTCTATAACAAATCTCACATCCATCCCTGCTCTCCATTCATGAGGACACTATTGTAATAGGCTCTTATTTAGTCATCCTGCTTCCAATCCCTCAAACCAACTTCCGTGCAGCTACCAAAATCATCTTCCTGGGGGCAGCTAGGTGGTGCAGTAGATAGAGCACCAGCCCTGGATTCAGGAGGACCTGAGTTCAAATCCGGCCTCAGATACAACACTTACTAGCTGTGTGACCCTAGGCAAGTCACTTAACCCCATTGCCTAGCCAAAAATAAATAAATAAATGAAACAAAATCATCTTCCTAAGATACAAGACTGCCCAAGCCACTTTGCTCTTCAAAAATCTTCCATGGTTTCCCATTGTCTCCAGGATAAAATGAAAACTTCTTAGCCTGTGGCATTGAAACCTTTCCATAATCTGGTACCTATCTACCTTTTTATATTTATTTCTTATTACTCCCTTCCAAAAATTTGGCGTTCCAGCCAAACTGAGCTACAAGCTCTTTTTCCCAAACTTGGAATCCCATCTTCCATCTTCATGATTAAACAAGTGTTTGGAGTGGACCCTCTGCCTCTCAGACACCTCACCTTCACTCAAGACTATGCTTAGATGTCATCTCCTACACGAAACCTTCCCAGATAGCCCC